ATGTTTTCTATATTCCTCCTCCCTCAGGGTGCTTCTGTCTCACAGACGTGAAGATTTCTCCTTCTACTGGCTCCACAGCTATTGTCTAATCTTGTGAGGGATTAGGATTCTCAAATAGTGTTCTTATTCTAATTCATGCTGCCCTTTCGTTGCCTCAGGAGCCACCACCTTGTCCGGTTTTTTGAGATAGGGTCACACTTTGTAGTTCAGGCTGACCTCGAACTCACTATGTACCCCAGACAAGCCCCAAATGCCCTGCGATACTATCCTGGGATCTTGAGTGCTGGGATGGCAGGCACGAACTACCCAGCCTGGTGGGGAGAGATATAGGATGTGAAGTCATTAGTGACCTGGGTGTGTCTGATCTTCATGGCTCTTTGTAGGAAGTGTGTTCAGAAAACAGCAGCGTTAGCCTGATATGAGGGTTTGGAGTTTCCATAATGGTCACCCTCGAGATGCCTGTGAAGGCCCAAGTGAGAAGTAGGTGCTTTCAACCCAAAAGGTCCTCAGGTCCCTGAAAAGTAGCCTGAACAGCCACTATCAATGTGACCCAGTGTCATCACAGCAAAGCTGGTGGGAGGCCCGTAAAGATCCCTCAGCTGTGTGATCTTCCTAAATCAGCGACTTTTGGAGTGAACTAAAAGCAAGTGAAGCTTGAAGGTTCATATAGTTTGTCCCTCGGTTTCACTAGTCTCGGACAGAGGGGACATCTATACGGTCAGATAGTACAGCCAGACAATCCTCACAAGTCCCCTTTACAAATAGCTTGTCACGCTACTGCCCACTGCTCAGGGTCCACAGCGATACATCAGACAGAGGAGGAGACTTTCTGGGGTCACAGGCATGGTCACTGCGCTGCACATCAGCAGTTTAAGGAGATGCTGACATAGGGTGCTTCTGCAAAAGCCTATTCTACTTCTTTCTGGAAAGGAGTGGGAGACATTCCCGAACCAATAGGTGGGGCAGATGGCAGGTAAAGTGATACATGAGTCAGAAAGTTTGAGGAAAATTGGAGGTCTGTCCGGGCCTGGTTAGTACACAGGAGTCCTGGCTGGGAAGGGCAGGAGGAGCTGTGTCAGGTCAGGAGTCTTCCTCTGTGTGGCTCCTCCACCCAGCCTAAGCCAGTCCTTGCTGTTTATGGCTTCCTCCACTCTGTTTCCTTGGGCTTGGCAGTGAACTGGTAAGGCAGGGTCCTCGGGAGAATGGAAGGAGGTGCAGAGTCAGGTATCAGGGCTACTGTTTGCTTTCTTTTGCTGGAGGGGCACAAAGCCAACTGTTAACTCTTAATTTCCAGACTTTCATTGTTTGAGGGAGCTGCTTTACTCCAGCAAAAAACAACGTACACCCTCGATCTTTGCAGCATGAACAGCTGGGACAATGGAAAAGGGGTGTGAGACCAGGGAGCAGTAACGTAGCCTATGTGTGTGTGTGTGTGTGTGTGTGTGTGTGTGTGTGTGTGTGTGTTTAAGGTGTATATTATATCCTTGCTATTACAGCTTTTCAATTTCGTTCATTATCTTGCCAACTGAACCTGTGTGAGTGTGTGGGCAAGACATGAAAAATGGAGACGCACAGCTGTTTGATCCTGTCTACTCCTTACTCTCCAAGGAAGATAACAGGAAAGGAGAAAGGAGACTCGGACAGGAAAAGGGAGGGCAGGGGCCTATGTACCCAAAGGTCAACCAGAACAGTCTGGGATGCTTCAATCTCAGCGACTGTTGAGATTGAGCTAGGAACCGAAATGCTGAACTTCTCTCCTGGCATGTTAAATAATGATAATATATGCTTTAAAAACTCATTATAACCATTAGCATGAATAACTAGTGATTTAGAATTTGAGTTAAATAGTCAGGCTGCTACATTTGTGCTCTTTGGATGTTTGAATATAATTATTTGAGGATTAAACTGAGAGGCATCGATCAGTCCCAGAAATAAATACCAGGCTTGCTTGCAAAGCCAAAATTGGACTGGAGAAATGAGAATTTGTAGCGAGAATGTCTGTTGTGTGAATGAATAAATAAAAAGTAGATATTGTACACCTTAATTGCAGGAAGATTTCAGGAAAGGGATTGATTAAAGATTTTAAGAAGATGACAGAGTAATAGATAATTTTAGGAAACAGTTCCACTTGTGTTTTTTGTTTTTATGGTCTCTAAAATAGGATAAGGGATTTATTAAAGGGGCCAAAGTAATTACATTATTTAGTACTCAATTTAGATAGAAGCTGATGACAGGCTATCTTTCTTGGAATAAAAGAAGTATCTAGGACCCATGTAAACATCTTGAATAGCAATCACATATTAAACTAAGGCAAAGCTACTACAGCATCTTTATTTCCTAATAGACAAATCCTCTGTAGTTTATATGTAGAAAAAATGGAATTTACAATGAAAGCTAAAGGAATCAGTAGCTATTTGCTTTGTTATAAAGATACCCTTGTATTTGACAGCTTTGAATATATTTGGACCTCAGGATCATTCAATTGGATGTATTTTCATAAAAAAGAAAAATTCTTTCCATTCATCTGTTTATTATAGTGTAAAATGTGTTTCTAGTGATTTCAGTTAGGTTTAAAATTAGCCATAAGGTGCATTTTAATGTACTTTTGTTAAGGATGTTACTGACTTACAAGTTGAGAGTTCTTTTGGCCAAAAGTTTTATCTCTTGAGATGGCAGTGAAATACTGAGCAAAACAGTCAACTAAAAAAAAAAAAAAAGAAAAGAAAAGAAAATAAAAAAGAAATTTGAGGATCTCAGCAAAATAAAACCATCAAAAGCAGCTCTGGAGCGCCACATGGAAGAGCATGCAGGAGGCACTTTCAAAGGCTACTCTGCCTTGGGACTCAGGGAGCCCCCAGACAGGACAGATGATGATATACGGGAATGCTAGGAAGTTTCTGGGCTCCCTCAGCCCCCAGAGGTTGAAAAGAGAAAAATTCAAACCAAGAAGCCATTCTGCAGTACACAAAAGAGTCACATCCACCATCCTGTGATCACCTGATGAGCTCACGTGTGGGGCCCGGGGTCTGGGTGACCTGGTGACACAGCACACAATTAGGCAAAGTTCTGGCCAGGCGCAGTTGTGAAGAAAATCAGGAATCCTCGTCCCTTCCTTGCACCCAAACTCAGCTCCTCTCCATCTGACTGCGATCACAAAGCAGAACCCCAACAGGTACCCCGAATATTATTACAAACCAGTGGCCAACACTTTCCCTAAAGGACAGGTCTTGGGACAAAAGCCAGCAAGGTGGGGAAGCGGATGCAGCTTCTCTTCATAGCCTGTGTCATCAGCATAACCGGCTGTCGCTGAGCCGGGTACAACAGCCACAGCCTGCATTTGTAAATCACATTTTCCACTGGGCAGGGAGACACAATTAGGAAGATGGACGCACAAAAACAGCACCTGGGGCTCCTGGCGTGAGAAGCCAAAATTGTGCTCAGGATTCAGGAACGTTCCGACAGGGTTGTTTAGACAAAGGGAAATGTGAGTTTTTGAAATGCTGCTACTTTAGCCAGGAACTACTCTCAAGGAGTTTAAAATTTCCTTAAAATGATTTCTGCTTTTGGTTCTTTGAAACCGGCCCTTGCTACGGAGTCCAGGCCGGCCTCGAACTTGAGGTGATCCTCCTGCCTCAGCCTCCCGAGGGATGGGATCACAGGCCTGCACCACCACCATGCCCGGCCCTGAAAATGATTTTAAGAAGCATAAGAGGTATCTAAGATGGAATCAGTAGATCACCAAATGTCTGGGAGTGGTGCAGGAGTGTGGGCAGAAGAGCGCACCAGAAGAGGTAGGTGTGAGCAGGGCCTGGAGGAGATTCAGGGGTGTGGGGAGGTTAAGGTGGGGCCGTGGCCTGGTTCCAAAGGAGCTGGCAGGAGCAAAGGCAAGCACACAACCAAGGAAAGGGGCAGAGAGGGGACAGCCATGGTGGACAAGTTCCGATGGCCAGAGCAGTAGCAGCCCATCTGCTGGGCAAAGCACTCCCGTGTTTATCCTCTGCCAGGTCCCCGGGGGAGAAGCTGTGGCAGAGGAGGCCCTGGAGTGTGGAGATGCTTTGGGGCTAATTCACCAGGCCCAGAGCAGAATGAAAAAGAGAGGCCCTTGTTCAAAATGCAGAAAAGCAAATTCCGCTGAGCTCTTAAAACAGAAAGATGCTATCTTCTCCTCTGCGGTCTGTCTCCATCCAGAATGAGTTTGTTGCTGTCATGATTGTTTCTTTGTGGTTTCTTCGTGTCAGCTTCCTTGGACTGCGGTGCTGGTAGGAAAAGTCCCAGTTCACACACACAGAGGGCCTCTCTCCTGCCGGCGACTGAGCCAAGGTACTGTTCCCAGCAGAGTCAGGCTCTGTCCCTCCCCATGGCCAGCTGTCCTGGCTGCAGCAGATGACTGACCTCGGGGACATCGCGCCTGGGTGAGCCGGGCACCTGGAGTGTGAGAGACTGAGTCACCCCCGGTGAGTTACCACCCAGTTCTCCGCTGTCTTGCTGCCGGCCTGCAAGGGACAGTGGGAGCCAGGACTGCAAACCAACAGTGTGAGCCCAAAGCCAAACTTCCCAGAGCCCAGCAAGGAGGGGGACAGTAGCGAGGGACCCTGGGAGCCAGGACTCAGTGCCCGGGACGCAAGATTCCCGGAGGGCAGTCCCAGGTGCACCAAGTACCAGTGCGAACTCCACTGTCCCGCTGAGCTGCAGCCGCAAAGCCGGGGGTGGGGGCAAAACTGAAGCAAACTAAGAGAAAAAATCCACAGCAGGTAGAGGTTACACACAGCCCTAGCAGCTGCAACTGGTGGCCTGAGAGGGGACTGGGTCTTGTCCAGGTGGCCCGGACCCACTCAGGTTTAGCAACAGCAGTGGGGAGGGAGGAGTCATGGCGGGGCGAGGGCAGGACTCAGGTGAGGGGCAAAGCCAGAGGCGGCGACTGTGCGGTCAAAAGAAAGCAAGGACACACCAGCATCCAAAGGGGAAGCCGGTTTACGTTGTAGTGTTGGTTTGCGGCGTAGAGCTGGAGGAGGGGCAAAGACAGTGGCAGTTTGGACAAAGCGAGTTTAGGCTGACAGAGCAATTCTTCCGGGAGGGAGCGGCAGGTAGTTGCACATCTGTGAGCTCAGCGGAAGGGAAGGGAAGGTGGGGAGAAACGTTCCCCAGAGGAGATTCCAGGGGGGTACATGGGATCTTGAAAACAGAGGGACCCAGGGGGGCAGCCCAGACCAGAGCGGGCTTGCCTGTTACCCTCCCCTGGGACTACGAGAAGGTGGTTCTCCCAGCGGAGAGGAAGGGACCTCTGGCAGAGAGGAGGCCAGCACCGCCAGAGAGGGTCTGAAGAGATCCTCGGAGCAGGCATGAAAACCGCACCTCCATTACCGGTGCAGTAAGTTTGCGGATTTGCTGTTTCCTGTTACGGAAAAGAATTTCCAGGATGTGTCCCTGGGAGGCATGAAGTGATCAATCAGGCAGAACTTTGAGGCAGAGAGAGTGTGGCCCTCAAGCGAGAGAAGCACATTGCTTCCTGGAACTTGGAATGTTTATGCTTCCCTTGAGGTGGAGGGGACGCGGGAGAAGAAGGGGACCACCCTTGGAAGGGCACTGGCCCGTGTTAAGGTGTGCGCACCGTTTCTGTAATTAATGTGGACAATTTAAGCTTTCTCTCAATTCAGTTTGCTCCTTTTTCTTAGGGTCAGGCTGCCGCTCTGTACTGACTCAGTGAAGCCCGTTTAAGGACTTACCGTATTCCTCGAGACTTTGTGAAGAATCTGGAGGGAAAGCAGCCTGAATTAGCCAAGGGTGTGGATCACTGTGGGTTAATCTGACTGCGTCCCAGAACTTGCATCCTTCTTAAAAGTGCAATTTTTAAGTTACCATCTACCAGGTTTTCTTTCTATTTTATTTCTTCCTTCCCACATCGTTTCTACCTCCAAGACTTCGATCCCTTATTCACAGGGGTACAGAAGTCTGAATTGTCCTCATTCTTATACCTGTTTCGGGTTGAGGTTAGGACTGATTCCCTAGCCAGGCTAACGTCTCACCCTGACCAAGGATAAGGAAGGCAGGTTTTCTTGTTGGATGAATTGTTTGTCAAATGGACACGAAAACGGTACTTACAACAATTGCATTAAATCAAAGTGTACTTTTAGGTGCACTGACAAATTTAAATCAGTATAACCTTTTTTTCTTAGCTTCATAACTATGAATTAGTCAGAATTCTCACTGGGGTGTATTACTTTAAGGCTTTAATAAGGTAAATCAAAACAGTATTTTCTCTACGCAGTACGATACCCTGAATGCTTTCCCGCCCCATGTTAGTTAACATGATGAACTTGTTTGTTTGTTTTGGTACCGGGGATTGAACTTGGGTCCTTGCGCTTGCAAGGCAGGCCACCAAACCGCTGAGCTAAATCCCCCGCCCCAACGTGGTGAACTTGTAACCACGAAAGTTAGGAGGGGGAAGGGCTGGGGATTTAGTTCAGTGGTTCTGCCGCCTGCCTTGGAAGTGCAAGGTCTGGAGTTCAATCCCTGGTACCAAATAGATTGCTAGATGGGACCTTTGTTCATTTGCCCTTCTCATTATAAAAGCAAGTTTGAGGCCTTGCCTTTGTACTCTTTAATCCACATTTACAGAAATGTAGAAATCGTTCCGATTTCTGTGTGTCCTGGGCCAGATCGTGAATGCACTGAGGAACTGTACTCTCTCCTAACATCACGGCCCCTCCTCACAAGGGACATATGGGGGTGGGTGACACAGGCAGCTGGTGCTACCCCTTGCTAAGAGAGAAGGAGGGGAGTGGCCGTGGGAGGGCTGGAGTAGAGGAAGCAGCGAAGGAGGTTCCCAGCTTTCTCCAGGGGCCTCTGGAGCCTCTCTTGGTACTGGCTCAGGCATTTGGGGTGACTTCCTTTGGCCGCTGGAGCCCTTCTACAAGGGCTGGCTCTGTTCTGACTGGTTTTATTGGCACAAGGGCGTAACAGATTGTCCAAGTTCCACATCATTTTGAACCATTGCATGAGACCATAAAAATCTGGACATACAGTAATTTTGTCCATTTTTTAATTCGTCTTACAAAACAAGCTGAAATATTGTGTTAAAATTTAAAGATGCATTGGGAGGCCACATCTCCCCATTCTCTATTTTATACTGAGTCCAAACTTAGTTGCAAAGGAAACATCATCTTTTTCCTTTTTAAATCCTCCATTTGAAAACAGTCCCAACTTCATAAAATACTACCTAAAGGTTCTATTTCAGGGGATAGATACCGATTTACTCCTACTCTGGTAAGACAGTGCACACCTTCATTATTTCCCTCTTGTATTTTTGAAAAGAGATAATGAGAGAAAGGAAAAAGAAATTAAAAAGGTGGTGAAGGTCAGAGGGAGGAGCATCCTACCTAGGTCCCTGAGCTAGATCTCCCAAGCAGTTTTGCCAGGATTCACACGGCATGGGCAGCCTCCCCATTTTCAGTCTTGAGAGTCTAGGCATCCCTGCCAGCTAGGCACAAACCTTCCCCAAGACCAAGTGACATGGGCCAGTGTGATTGCTGCTATGGCTAGGACCAGCATCTTTGTCTCTGGCACACAGCTGCCCAAACCTTTGTCAGTAGACCAGAAAGGCAGGGAAAAAAAATTGTACATGATAACTGGGCTTTACTAAAATGAAAAATCACTCCCCCAAATCCTTATATCTGGGGACCTGTAGCATATGCAAGGCACTCGGAAGTTTTTTTAAAAAGTCTGGAGATGTCACCTAGTAACTACGAGTCACATACCATTTTGCATAGGGAAAGAACGGAAGCAAGCTACCGCTACAGAAGCAACTCCGTGAGGCCCCGGAGGAGAACCACAATGGGCTGGGACAGTCATGGCAGACTCTGCTGCTGGCAGCTGTGAAGGGCTGAGATGGAGCCCTCCCGGTGGTGGGCAGTGGGCGCAACCCTGACCTGCATCCTCAGGTGTGAGTGGAGGGGAATGTTTGTCCCCTCTCCCTTTCCCCAGCTCAGCACGGAGTGTTGGCTGAGAAAGAGAAATGGTTGGGTTCTGGCCAGTGGTGCCCAACCGTTGAGTCACCATTTATTGTTTTCTCCCGCTATATGGGAGAGACACAGAACACAGATGCCTCTCTGCCCCACATAGGCAGAGGCACAGAAATTTCTCATAGTGACATGCGGAAACTGAGCTCTCCAGTGCCCACCGATCTCCGCCCTCCACCTCCCTGCCTCTTCCTGGTAACTAGGGTGAGAAAAGGTGAAAGGACTGGAGCTTTTGGATAGACGAAGGAGGCTTAAATGGGAGTGGCCAAGGGGAAGGGAAATGGGATCTTAGGGAGAGGGAGAAGGAAAAGAAAACCAGTGGTTTCCTTCTTAGTTTGAGTCCATAGACTCCACAGGATGAGAAGGCTAATGTCAGTCACTCTCTGAAGGACTACTTGAATCTCTCAGCGTAGGACATGTGTCTGCCCACCTAAGAGGGAAGGGATAGCATCAGGGAGACTGTTTATGCCTTTTGGTTTTGAGAGAGAGAGAGAGGGGAGAGGGATTATTAAAAGAGCAGTTTACAGGATCTCTTTTATCTAAGTTGTTACCACAGATATGCATGATTTCAGCAGATCTCCTCTTTGGGTGTCACCCCAAAGGCTGGGCCACTCCATGCTGTCTTTGGACTAGGTTTCCCATGGTGGCTGCATAAGAAACTTTTCTTGTACTCCTTGATGGGCCTTTCCTTGTATCTTTCTGTTTCAGCGAGCAAACTGTTTCTGTTTCAGCGAGCAAACTGTAGCCCCATCTGACCTAAGAATGTAGTGTGTTGACCTAGGGAATGCTTAACTGAGGTCACACTCCAACAGAGTGCTCCTCTCAATGCCTCTCTCCATTTCTCCTTAGAGGAGCCAGTGCCCCTTGTCTTCGGTGCTTTAATAGGTAAGCACTCATTTTTCTAGGACTTGGGAGCCTCTAACTTCTGAAAAGGGGAAAAAAACTACCTTAGGACTACAGGAATTTGCAGAAAGGGAAGAAGAAAAAAAAAAGGGGGGGATACTTCAGAAGGCAAAAGGTGGAGGGAAGAAAAAAAACATGAAAAGCCTTTGGCTGGACTTACTGCAGCCATGATCCTGATGCCTCTTTTACCTCTTACCACCGGCTAAGCATGAGAAAATCTCACAGCAGGGTCTGAGGAGTTCTCCGAAACTGAGATAAGAAACCTAACCTGCTCTACTTATGGAATAAGTTTCCAGGTTTGCTGACTCCTGTTATAAAAAAAGAATTTTCAGTATGCATCAGAAAGGGACCTAAAAGGATTAGAGAGATATTTAAAAGAACACACTCAAAGAAGTAGGGTGTGGGCCCTCAAGACAAGAGGTATGTTTTTCCTGGAACTGGGACATTCATGCTTCTAGGGGGAAAGTTGGCATACCCCTCAGAAAGGTACTGGGCCATTTTACAGGAATGAGCCCAGGTTTAATTGTTTTAACAAGAATGGATAATTTAAGTATTCTCTGCTTTCTCTTATCTTTTATCTTAGGATCAAATTCCTGCTCTTATTTTCTCAACAAAGCCAACTTATGGACTTACATTTCTTCGGGGATTTCAGCATGGTGGGAATGGAAGGAAGAGAGCCTACATTAACCAACAGAGCGACAGTATGGATAGCCTTGGGTAGATTCGACTGGATCCTGGAAGTTTCAGTCTTCTTAAAAGTACACATTTTAATGATGATTCTCCTTGTATCCTTTCTACCTATTTGATTTCTTTTTTCCTGCCTCAGATGGAGCCCAAGAACCCAGGAGATTGTGGAGAATGAGGACAAAACAGTAATCCTTGTTCATTATCCCCAAAAGGGACTGTTTCAGTGGCATAGTAAGGGGCTTACTGAGCAAATGAGGCAAGATGGCATTCATGACTTTCTGGGCTGAGGTCAGGGTGGATGGACAGCATAGCAGAGGGCTTGGGAGCCAGGGAGGCCTGGGTTCAAGGCTCAGTATGGACCGTTTCTAGTTGCATGCTTTGGCTGAAGTCCTCGTCTCTCTAGGTGACAGTTTCCTTGACTGTGAAATGCGGATGTCAGCAGGGTTTCCCCAGGTGAGGGCTAGGTGAAGGGTATTGGAAGCAAGGTATTGGAGGCTTAGGAGCCAGAACAATGAAGAAAGCAGCTATGGGGACGGAGACACGCAGGCAGCAGTAAGACTCCAACAGAAGCCAAAATAACTGGCTAAGGGAGCAAAAAGGAGAAGAGTACAGCAACCAAGCATGGCATCACTGTCCTACCAGCTTGACTCAGACCCCAAATCTGTCTGACCTCGAGGTGACACAGGCTTTTCACTGTGCCCTGATCCCTGTTCTCTGACTCTCACATGGACGCATTTTTTTAGACCACGTACATGGCTATTTTGCTAAAGATAATCAATTCCTTGCTTCCTTTGTCGGTGGACGTGGACGTGTGACCAAGTTCCAGCAGATGGGATGTGAGAAAAAAACAATAGTACAGACAAGTTCTAGGTCATGCCCTAAAAAGCAAAGAATGTGTTTTTCTATTTATTTTTTTATTGCTCCCATTCCCGGTGGCTGGAATCTAGATATGATGGCTGGAACTGATTCAGCTAACTTGGGCTATGCAGCAAAAGCAGAGGGTTGAGGATTATGTAACAAAAAGACAAAAACTGACCACATCTGCTACCTTGTTGAGGTTCCCCACTTTCCCCAGACAGCTCATATTTAGTCTATTAGACAAAAGAGAACTAGATTTTTTTTTTTTATTGTTTAAGTCACTGGCATTTTGGTTCATTCAGTTATTGTAACTGTACTTGCATCCTAAAAAATAAGAAACTCATGCACATTTATACCTCGGGATAAATACTTCATAGAGCTGTGAGAATGAAGCCCTATCTAATACATCAAGATCATTGAACTCAGTATATAACATGACATAAATATCGAGCCACTGTTTTCTGGATATATGAGCAGTATAGTCAGTCAGAGTACACTGTTGATTGAGAATTGCCCAGGTAGCTATGGCCAGGGGCAGGGTGGGTGTGGTGGTGTTGGTGGTGCTGGTGGTAGCCAAAATGACACTGTAAGTTACTAAAAGACTTAAACTTTACTTACTAGCTCCTTGTGGTTAGTAACATCTAGGAATTAAGAATACACTTACGCATTTTGATACAAATGGACAGTTCAATTTTTTCTCAAGCTCTAGAATGGCAAGTATTGGGAAAACAGATAAAAATGATCTTTGTTTTAAAGTTTCCTGCTCCATTCAATTGTTATTTGTTGTACTAACTTAAAAGTGTTGACACTAGCTCCAGACTGACTATTTTTTAATTCTAGCTCCACTACTTAATACTTGGGGACCTTAGCAAATTGTTTGCTCTCTGTTGAACTCAGTAATATAGCCACAATCTCTGTAATATAGCCACAATATTAATGCTCGCTTCACAGGCATATAAGAAATAAAATAGCAAATGAAGTGTCTGAAACAATATCTGACAGGGAGAAAGTGCTCAATTTTGGTTCCTTATCCTATCAGTTATCTATTGCTACACAAGAAACCTCTCCTAAACTGGCAGATTAAGATAACATGCATTTGCTTTGTTCATAATTCTTCAGACTGAAAATCAGACTGGGCTCAGCTGTATGGTTCATCTGGCTTTGGTGTACTCCTGTACACATCTGCAGGCAGCTGCAGGCTGGCTGGACCAACCAGCAGTGGTATTTAAGCCATTTCCTTGTGTACTTCAAGCAGCCTTGCCAAGCTAGTTCACATTGTGGAGGTAGCATTCTAAGAGAAAGGAGAAAAGGCAAAAGGTCTTGCAGGCTTGGCATTAAACTAACACAGTGCTTTTGTACCACACTCTACTGGTCAGAACTAGAAGCTTTTCAAACAAGTCCAACAGGTGGGGAACCATCCTCTATTTTTTGATAGGAGGAATAGCAAAATTGCTTTGGAAAGGTGTGCATACAGGGAAGGCCATTAAGTGGAGCTGTTAATGCAATCAGTTTGTTGTAGTCTGTCCTCTAGTCATCATTAGTTATATATCTCTTACTGCACACTGCACTTTCCCAAGACCTTGAAAATATCATCAATCATAGCATCAAAACCAATATGTGTTCCACCCATGACTCTTTGGATGTGGCTCCCTTTGATCTGAAGGGCTTTGAAATACAGAAACAAGTTACTTAGCTCTAGAGGCCCAGCATATAATAAAGATGCAATAGGCAGGACAACTGCCCACTGGAGAAGAGAAAGAGTGGGAAGCGGTAGCAGTAACTGCTCCATAATAATTCTGAAATCCTTGCGGTAAGTATTCCCCCAAGTATGGTGAGGGGAAAGTCCATGTTCCATGATTAGAGCTTGGCTCCCATCCTTGTGAGTGGCTCCTGGTCATTTTATTCTACAGAGCTTTTATTCTACCCTTTGGTTTCCTTAATTACTGTCCAAGATATTTTTCCTTCCCATCATCCTTCTTGGCTATATCTGAAGAAATGGCCCACATTAGTGATGACGGGCTTCTTAACCTACTTCTGCCTATATGACATATGTGGCTCAAAACCTCTGCATATTTTAAACAATTTTAGTTCTTGTAAGTCTCATCTAGCATTGCTTTTGACTCAACAGCCTCCTAAAACAAAAAATGTAATGACTTTCTTACTAATCTAATGATTTTATCCTCTTAACCACTATTGTTTTCTAGACACAACTCTCTTGATTTACACACTAGTACTTTCGAATTGGGTTCTTGTGAGATCGTGATATGAATATTCTAGACTTATTTGGTCCAGACAAAATGGTTTAACTTCATCATTTCACAGTTTTAATGAGGGGTTACACAGCCATACCCTTAACTGTGCCCTTAGTCTGTATTTACTTTGATAAAGTAAAAGAGTAGAACTGAGGAATTGTTATGTTTTCTACTACAACAAATCATTCTGTTAATAAACTGACTAGTTCTTTATCTCATCTTTTTCTTGCTGTCCTTTATCAAATATGGATAGAAGCAAGTAACTAACACTTCAAAATTCTGCTGGATTCACTTTTAGGTACATTTTATGATTATCTGTCTGTCCATCTATGTATACATATCTTGCTATAAATTAAAGTTTAAAAAAATAACAGCACCACTGGAAAGAAGATGCACATTACAAAGATTACTCTTCAAATTGCACATTTCTGTGATTGTCCAGTCATTGCTATGCTCTAAGTTGAGATCATTTTTGACTCCCCAAACCTCTGTACCCACAAGCAGTCATTCCACATTGTTCTCTTTCTCCAGCTGTCGGCAAGCATTCATCTACTTTTGTTTCTTTAAATTGACCTATTTTGGTTATTTCATATAAATGGGGTTACACCATATCTGTCCTTTGTGACTGACTTCTTTTGTTTAGTATAAAGTGCAGGAATAACAGTTTTGCAAATATTTTTTGTGCACCATAACTCCAGTTACCACTCTTTTAGCTTGAATACAATTTCTCCATCATGTCTATAGCTTTTGCTAACTGTATTTACTGATCTTCCATCATCCACTCTGACTGTTTCTAAAATTGATGCTATGCATTTTAGACTTTTGGTTATGTCAGCAATCCATCGATGGTACCAATTTCCCTGCCATTATTTATTACCAAAATAATATTATATAAAAGCAAACTGCAGTAATAGTCACTTAGTTTTGTTCATGAATCTACAGGTCTGATTGTGACTGTTGAATGCATATCAAATAGTTCTGCTAATTCCTCCTGGTGTTGGCTCATTAAATGCTTGTCCAGTATTGGCTCCTGGGACAGCAGGCCTTCATGTGGGGACTTGTCCTTCTGCAGACTAGGCTGGCTCTTCACATGGCAGTTGGGCAGAGGTCCAGGAGAGGGCCTCTGGAAGTCCTGGGCTCAGAGCTGTCATGCCCAATGACACTTTGGCCTCGTTCTATTCGCCAAAGCTAAACAAGAGGCCAGCCTAGAATTAAGGGATAGAGAAACAGATAGTGACAGGAGGAGCTGTAAATTTACATAAAAAAGGAAAGCCATTAACTTGGGCCATCAGTGCTACCAATTACAGCTGCTATTTAAATTACTGATATCATATAGCCATGGCCAATTCAATAAGACTGCTGGACTTCCATAATTTTCTTGCAATTCAGCTCAGCAATTGTTATTAAATACCTACTGTTTGCTAAGCACTGTGTGAAGTCCTAAGGAGAGGGAGATGAAGGCATACAATTTTTCTATAGGGGGCTCATAGTCTAAGGAGGGAGACAGACATGCAAACCAACTTGTACTACCCAATGTTATAAATATGATAATGTGTCCCAGATGAAAAATGAATTGATAAATTCTAGGCAAGCCTTTATAGCAAAGATAGTACCCAAGTTGGGGAGTAGGACTTGGACTAGAAGACAAGGGTGGAAAGGATCAAAAGAGAAGGGTGAAATGGAAGAAGGTACAGAAGCAGTAATGCTCATAATGTGACTAGTTCTCCAAGTTCTTCGGAATCTTTGAAGCATCAATACTAGTGGCAGGGGAGAGCAAGAGGTACAGCTGGAGGTAGGCGACATGGTGTGTTGGGGCTAAAGCTGAGGGTAAGAAAGATGATGTGCAAGAATCATGAGAAAAACAGAACCAGCACATATAGCTTGTCGGTATGAATTTATCTAGCTAAATTTATTGTAAGGAATTGTCTTATACATTTCCAGAAGCTACAATCCGCATGTGGAGACCCAGGAGATTTGGGGGTTTAAGTCCGGGAGAGCCAGTTGTGTAAGTGCTGGTCTGTGTGCAGGAGAGGGCCAGGGCTTTGGCTCCAAAACCAAGGTGGTGAGTATGCGGAGACTTTGCCTTTACCCAGCCATTTTTGCTGTTCGAGACTTCAACAGATGGAAGAGGGCAGCCTCCTCTTCTCAGTTCACCAATACAAACCTCAGTCTCATCTAGGCACCCATACTAACACACCCAAAGCAATGTTTGAGCAAAGATATGCACACTTCCTGGCCCAGTCAAGTTAACCCATAAAAATTAGCCTTTACACGTCATTCAATACATGCTGTTTGTTAAGCACTGTGTGAAGTCCCTGGAGTGACCATTTCTCAGAAGAACATATTTATTAACCAAAAACTCAGTCCTATCAGTCAATAGCCTAGAGGCACTATTCCACTGTTAGTTTTTAGTTTTTTTACTTTGAGATGAGTGTAGTTTCCCAGGCAATTGTTAGCAATAATACATAGAGATCCCGTGGACTTTCCCTCAGTTTCCCCTCAGGTTAATATTCTGTACAACTATGCTGTAGTATCATGACTACGAATAAATCAACCCCCTCCATCAATCCTACTTACATTTCACCAGTTTTACAATCTCTTACCTGTGTCTGTGTGTGTCTGGCTCTGTGAAATTTTACCCTATGTGTAGACTTGTGTGGACACCACAATCCACACTTGGGATGGTCCCACCCCAGGGACTCTTGCCTCAGCCACTTGCCTCCTTCTTCTGCTTCGTAGGTCCTAGCAACTAATAATATGCTTTTTTTTCAGTGCTTGGGATGGCACCCAGGGCTGTGTGCATACTAAATAAGTGCTTTACCACTGGGCTCCCGGGGTTTGATAATATCTTCTTCATTTCCATAATTCAGTTATTTACAAATATCTCATAAATGGAGTCGTGTATCATAGAACCTTTTGATATCAGCTTTTTCCATTTTATATAGTTCCCTTGAGAGCCATCAAAGTTGTTATGTGTATTTCTGATGTTCTTTGTGATGCTGGGTGGTGTAATCTAGAGTATATGCAGCTAGACCAGTTTGTTTAACCATTCTTCCACTGAAGGACTTCTGGGTTGTTTTCAAGTGTTAGCTGTTAGACACAAAGCTACTGCAACATTTGTGTGCAGGTTTTCGTGTGAACATAAGCTTTGGTTTCTCTGGAGCAAAGGTCTAAGAATACTACTTGTGGTTCTTCTGATTAGCATGTGTTTGGTCCTATAAGAAACCGCCACATTTTTTTCCAGAATGCCTGTACTGTTTCATATTTCTACCAGCAATGTAGGCAGATTCTAGGGTCTTGGAATCATTGCAGACATTTGATATATCAAATATCAGAATATGATTGTTTTCAGCCATTCTAACAAGTATGTAGTAATATATGATTAATTTGCTTTTCCTTAGTAGCTAAAGGTGTGGAATATCTTTCCATGAGCTTACTTGCCATCTGTCTATCCTCTGCTACAGTCTTGTTTATGTCTCTTGCCCATTTTCTAATTTGATTGCTATATTTTTGCATTTTTCACTCTTACCTATGTAGTGGTCCAAATCTTATCCTGTGTTTTAACTAAACAGAATTTTTCCATGAAAGAGAATGAAAAGTCACATTAAGCATCCAGGGCACTTTATGTAGGCAGATTGCTCAGACCACGTACAAGGAATAGGTTTTAACAGAAGTTATTGGAACTGGTCCTGCCCACTCTTTTTGCTCCTCCCAGCCGCTGGTTATTGCTCGTTTCTTGTAATAACCACAGGTACTGAAGAGAATTTACTTAGTAAGGTATGCTATGGCTTGTGTTTAAGCAAGAAAGTTTGGTCTCAGATCCAGCCAAAGCTCATGATTTGTGCTTCTCTAAAGGAAAGTGTTGGTCAAGCAGTTCTGTGGCGAGGCAGGTGAGGGCCACAATAATTAGTTGGGCAGTTGTCTGTGTTTGACTCACAACTGGAAAAATCTCCTCACCCAGCAAAGAGCAATTTTTCACTCCTGAGTCTCCTCATCTTCGGGGGTGTTTTAAATTAGAGGTGTCCTAGATTTTATGTTTGGGTTGTTTATCCAATGAGTTCAAGAGAGAGGCCTGTTAAATCAGCATGTGTACAATTGCTATACCACAATAGAATAAAACCCAAGTGTTGTGGTTTAAATGGGGGGTTCTATATTCCCACCAAAGCCTCCTCAGCTCAGAAGTGGGAGTATGGGGAGGTGATGGAATATCATGGATTGTGATACTCATCAGTGAATGAGCCCAGCCATGAGTTTATAGCCAAACGTGAGTTGGGAGGTGAAGCCTGGCTGGAGATGGGTCACTGGGGCCTGATAGGGTGCATCTCCACCCTCCTCCCTTGCTCCCTCTTTCTGGTTCCACAGTCCTGCCATGAGCAAGTCTCCCCTGCCATGCAGCCCGCTTTGGTGACAGCTGACTACGGACTGAAACTTCTACAAATTGTGAGCTAAAGTAGACTTGTCCTCCCTTAAGTTGTGCTTGTCAGGTACTGTGTCTCAGCAACCAGAAAGTAACTAAGACACATAGTAGCTGGTTAGTGTAGGGGTGTAGGGGATTACTGAAGACTTACGCTAGAAGGTGTAAGGGGGAAACTTCATCGCCTTCTCCACACTAACTTAGGGGAATATCCATTTGTACAGACTTTTCTTCCCAGTGTAGGGTATTACCCAAAAAATTGCATATGACTGTGTAACTTATTGTTTTGAAATGCAAACAATCAAATACATAGGCACCAGAAAGTGAGTAACAATTCTTGTGGAAGAATAAGCACATATTTTTTAACTATCAGAAAAATACCCCGCAGAGCAGTACATTAGCTGGGTTGCAATAAATATCAAATTCAGAAATCAGCTTGTGTCAAGAACAGACGATTGAAGAGGGTTGGCATGCTCTGAAATATAGACTAGACAATGCTCTGAGAAGGGCACCAAAGCAATAAATAAATAACCACTTATATTATTTCCCTCTTTTTAGTAAATGATTCATAGTTTAAAGGGGAACCAGGGTTAAGTAATTCAAGAACCCAACATCAATCGGAGACTGTGTTTTAGCTTGTGAGGTGCTTAGAGAACTCTAAGGATTGCTCTGGGTTGT